AAAAGAAAACAGAACAAGCAAATGAATGCATAAGTGAAAGTAGACGCAGGCAAGTCAAATGGTGAGGGAGCTCAAGTAAAGGCGTAGCAAGAGAAAAAGGGAGATAGGCGAATAAATTAACAAAGTTCGCAATGAATGGGTGGACAAACCATAGATAAGCAGATAAGCCGATAAGCCGATAAGCCGACGGATAAAAGAGTACAGCAGCAGGCAGGAGAATAAGAAGCCTGATGGGTTTCACCAAGGCGAAAGCGAGTAGAAAAAAAAAAAAACGAAATAAATGAATAATGAACGCGTTACGTATGTACAGAATAAAGCACATCTAAGGAAACCCAAGAAAATGCAAACCATCCGCCAAATAATTGCGAACAACGACAGAATGATTTAACGAACGGGCAAACGCTTATAATATAAAATCTATGTAACACACATGCATACACACACACACACACACACACACACACACACACAATATACATATATATGTATATATAATTTACGAAGCTGCTTATTTTGCATAATTGGTAGTTATAGGAAACAGAAAACTATTATCGTAAGGGGCACCTTAGTAGGAACTTAAATGTTAACCACTTAACGAGTTAATTGCATTCGATGTGTGTACATGTCACTCCGAATTTTCTTCATTTTTACGCAGCCGTCGTGTACATATGTCATGTGAAATGGAAAAACGCCTTTTGATTTTAAAAACACAAAGTTTCTGTAACACATGACACACATGTCATTTATGTTGTACGACGTTTCCTTTATCATATAAGTAGGCTTGCTGTAAATTAAAATTTAAAAAAAAAAGAAAAAATTTGAGTTAATTTCGATCGATTATGACAACAAAACATATATTTGCGTTTGAAAAGCATTTATCTGACTTTGTAACGGTTTCACTACCAAAGGCATATGTATTTCGAAGACATTTTTGTCTGATCGAAAAATGAACTTAGTAAGGATTGCATTCTGCTAATTTGGCGCTCGATTTATGAATTGCTGCGTGGTGATCGTGACACCCATTTTATGTCACCGTAATAACGTCTATTTTATTTATTCATAACATGACGATCCTGATATCAATTATTCATAACATTAGTTAAGACTCATAAGCAGTTTACATTCATACATACATATATACATATATATATATATACAAACATACAAACATGCTTACAAAAATTCTATTGGGCCATTTTATTAATCCATCACACTTTCCAGCTTTAAAGAGCCTCTGATATAATTGTTGAAAAAATATCGCATGCAATTTTCCCTAGTTTTGCTGATCTATGACAATATTCTTGTGATTATTTTAAAATGTGTCAGCCCTGCCTTTTCAAATTAACGTGAATTGAAAAGTTCAAATTAAATTTGGCTTGCAATTAATGCCTGCTTTCAGATAGCAGTGTAAAAAGTTGTACCGTTTTATGAAAATTAGACTTGTTTGTAGTTTTGCACTTTAGTCTATAAAAACAAAATTAAATTGAAATTTTGCAAAATTAAACAAAAAAAAGTAAGAAAATTAAATTGAATCTTATTATCCGTTATTCTACGAAAGACTAATAAAAAGGGAAAGAAATTAAATTTTCATACTCTTTAATACACGGTAGGAGCGGTCGATTTTTTCTATTTGCAGAATAAAACTTTACATTGTACATGTGCTGTGGCTTTATCTGAGCTGTAGCTTTAAAGAAAAAACTAATTATTTATTCTTTTTAAATAGAGGTGTTCTCACTTTAAATAGCACTGTTGGCTTATCCTTCAATCGATTTGGCCCATTTTCAATACAAACGTGCATGTAAGAGCTTCCAATGTCTCCGTCAAATTTAAAGTTGGCAGCTGGATTCTACGACCATGAGAAAATTTGCAACCAGCATTACACCGCCGGACAGACAGGCATTCTTAAAACGATTCAGAATTTTGAGGCTGATCAAGAAAGTGCAGGACCCTCTGAAACGTTTGACAAACGTTTTAACAATATGAATATTCCCCCCTTCTCCGTTAATGGTCGGTACAATAATAATAATAATAAGATTGAATGGGGTATCATACACTGCATCTTTCATTAAGAAATTAATTTATTTTTGTTCCTTAAATTATTTCATGAATTTCTACGCTTAACATAGTTTCTTGTCATTTATTTAAAAGTCTTGTGTACGCCTCTGCAATTACCCTTTTTACTTATTATCAAAAACAATTTTTTTTTTGAATATCATTATATTTTAGAATACATTTCTAAGTAAGCGATGTTTACAACGATGAGTAAATTTTTCTAAAAATTATTCTCATTCTAGAAATATTCTTCAAATTTCTTATCAAATCTGTTGGTTTAAATGTCTACAGATAGAGTGAAATTGGAAATGTTTGGCTGTCTCGACGAGAAAATGAACTAAAACAGGTTAGTAAATATATTAAGAAATTTAAAAAAAAAAATTATAAGGAACTAATCAGATATAAAAGCAAATAAGAAAAGAACACCTTTACACTAGAAAGGTAAAAAAAAAAAAAAAAAAAACCAAGCTCCACGTTCTATAACATTGGATGGTCATGGCTGATTTTTTCTAACTTTATAGGATGTATGGCGGAATTTTTATTGTATATCTATACATGTGCAACAAGTTCATTATGAATATAAGTAATACGTAAAAAAAAAAAAAAAAAATGTTTCCCGAAAACGGAACTTTCCTCAGCTAGTACTGCACTGTACACATGTGTCCTTTCAACGATTGGTGACATCACTTCCAATATTTTTGTCCCAAATAAAGGCCATGTCTCCATTTTTGCAACTGGGAGAATATTTAACAGAGCTTAGACGGTCTGATACCCGAACGAACGGAGACATTTTGACATTGATCAAGATATACTTTGCAGAGTCTCTGAAGGCACACTCCTACCCTTCTCACAGGTGGTTGTAATAATGGTTGACTATGTGACTATGTTCTAGAAAAGCCTAAACGCAGCAATATATCATGCGATAAATTATTGAAAAATCCCACATAGAAGGCAAGCAATGAACTAAACTGTGTGCAGTTACAACTACAAACGCTAATCGTTACTATGTTTACCATTAATCTACAATAAAATCTTAAGTTTAATTGTAACATAATTTTGCAAAAATGCCGTAAATATTAACAATGATCAACGTAGCAAAAGTACTTAAGTTGATAACAATTGTATCGTTATTGCTTATCAACTAATTCCAGGAAATAATCGAACAGGCAAAGGCATAGTCAAGATTCAATTATAGCAAACTAAAGATGAATTTCGAATACGTTCGTGAGAAGAAAATTCTTGCCATTCCCTAAAGTAGAGAATAGCAATCCAAATTGCAAATCTTTGTCCATCTGTACATTGTATGACATTCATCGCATTCACCACAACTGCGTATATCTATCTGTGGGTAGATATTTTACAAGTAATACAAACTTTATATGGCTTAGCGAATACTTTCCTTAGATTATAATGATTTGCAATCTTTTTTTAGATAGATTTGCGTAAGTACGGAATGGTAATAAATGCGTAATTTTATGGAACCTAATACGGAAATAATTTCTCCCTCATCAGTTTTATAGGTAAAGTCAGTAGGTAAACGTGGGGAGAACGAGAGAAAGCTATGAGTCAATAATATCGAGAATCGTTTATTATATACAAGTAGACAAAAACACAATAAAATAGATTTCTTGTTTTCTTATTCCCTTTCTTGCTATTGCTGTTTATTTGTTTTTTTTTTTTTTTTTTTATTTCTTTACCTTTATCGTATTGACTTTCTTGCTGAGTCACGTTTAAGTGTTCTTGGCAGAAACGTACACTAAAAAAGAAAAAGAAGCATACACACACACACACACACACAACAACAACAACAAATATAACAATAAATATAAATGCCACGTACCGAAAAAATATGATGTCAAGCTTGTTGTGTTTATTTTTTTCATTCCTATTTCGTATATATATATATTTGTCGGCAATTGTGTGTATGCTTTTGTTTTTTTTTTCAGTTTTTGTCAAAGCTTAAAATGTCATATTTTATGACTATACTGTACATCATGTGTATGTTTGCGTTGGCAGTCTGCTATATACATACCCCATCAGTTCTTATTTATATCCTTGTGTATGCGTGCCTATGTGTGTATTTATGAATACAAGTGTATATGTCATAAACATTGTAATAATACAAAATACTTGAGACCACAACAAAAAGTACTTAAAGTGACCTAAAGTGGTTGGTTACCACAGTACATTAAAGGCATGAATTATGAGCAAATAGAATCCACACGTAGTTAGGGGTTAAATGTCAATAACGTTATATAGGTTTATTAGAGAGTGTAACGCAAGTATATAAGTGCATATATTTAATTATTATATACATAATATACATACAAACGTTCATATATATGTAAACACACATATATGTGTGTAAAAGCAGTATAATGTCCTTTAAATAAATTAAGCAGAGCAGAATTGTTTAAATAATAATAACATTAATAATAGAAGGCATAGCTTGATTTACGTTTATCCTGAAAGTAACACAACCTATTCAGACAATTTACTAACCAGTCAAGTTAATAATCTTTAATATGATATTAATTAGAAAGTCTTTAACTTGCGGTTACCTAAATTGTCGTGACAGCAAAAAAAAAAAAAAAAAAAAAAATTTAAAAAAAAAAAGCGTCCCCCTGGTTGTTTTTTTATTTTTTTTAAAAAAAATTTCACCAAAAAATTTTTTGTTAAAAAAACTTTTTTTTTTTTTTTTTTTCATTTATGTTTTACTTATAGTTTGCATTTTTTAACAAAACTATTAATCGAGACATTTTGCGCCTAAAGCTTAACTTTACTAAGCGGGTACACCCGTTATTATTATTAGGCCTCACAAATGCCTCACTAGCCTCCCTGAAGACCCTATATGAAATTATGTCATTCCGACGTTTTGAAAACACATTAGTTTTAACGCTGAATCCATTTACCGAACTCTATTTATATTTTAGCAAAGGAATTTGCTACATTCGACGCTTTACGAAGGCGAAATCTTTACAATTAAAACTGACGGACTGGGCGGACATCTGCTAGGCTGTAGTCTAGTCTTTCTTCGCTTCTTTATATAGGGAATATCCCTTGAGTGATATATATATATATATATATATATATGTATGTATATTTATATAATATATGTACTTGGTTAATTGTGGGAATTTAGTGAACCAATGACGACTGTTTCATTCCTTTTATTATAACCTACGGCCCTTGTGCAATAATAATAATAATTTGTTGTTTAAAATAAGCTTTTATTAAAGCAAAGGCAGACAAAAAATGTTTTACCAGTGACTTTAGGCGAAAAAATTTCAATATCTACGCCATGAACTCACAACATGGGAGTGCATATTGGCAGTCAAGTTATAGCCATTCTAGCTTATGTTTCGAAAACATATGCTTGTGCTTATTGTGGGCGTGCCAGGACATATAGATTTTCGACCCTGATCTGCGGCCGTAGATAAGTTTTACTTTTGCCTCGTTAGGACCCACTAATGCGTAATAGGCAAACGAAGGGACGACGGGACATTATCTCATGTTTCCTTCCTAGTGTCTTAAGTTAACTTAAATTCTGCTGTATTTCCATCCTTCTGTGATGGCTAGTATACAATGACTTTCGTCATCTCTATAATACCTTTTCTTTTTTTAGACAATAAGTAGCATGAGAGTTTTTCGATCAGGACTGTGAAGGGATTTGATAAGCCTAATTCTCAGATAATATCAAAATTGTAGATTTAATTCGCAAAATGTTGGAAATAACAATTCTTTTAGCAGGTGTAGACAGATTTATAAAAGCGGATCAAGCTCACCTTCAAAGCTGATTATCACTCAACGGCTAAGATATATGTGATGTTATCGCTTCTGTTTGAATTTTTACAAATGGCTCAAGGGAAAATCTTCTCATGGCAAAGTTAGCAAAACTACGTACCTTTGCTGGTAGGAAAAAAGCATTTAAGTGTGGGACCACAGAAAGGTTTTATTTACCTATTAGTACTGATTGTCCAGCTCATACTTACATTAAAAAGTTACTCATAACAACTACAACCAAAGGAAGGGGAACCAAAAGTTTCTGGTGCCTTTTCCAAAATGGAATAACGATCTCTTTACTTGCTTCTAATCTCAAAATGTGCTCCTTTCCCGAAAGATTTCTTGGAAAGAGTTTCTTAATCGTGTTAATGTAGCGTATCGCGCTTTCTAAACTGAAGCAAGGACGAGTTGAGCCTTGATATTTATTCGACTTTATTCTCTAAAGAGAAGCTAAATGGCGGCCAGATATATTTGTCATTGGCGGCCCTTCCTACGTCGCATTGTTCGTAGTAACTCAAAACGATCTTTGGGAAATATATAAAATCTGTACATATAAGATTCTAAATATTTCTACCTATGTCCGTTCATCCTCTCTTTTCCTGCTGATTCTTGTGTGTGCACGGCCTACTCCAGACTTTTTCCAGGATTCTTTTTTGCAAGGCGTCAAAACATCAGTCATCTTTTCTTCGTTTATTTCATATTGTCTGCCTATAAGATGGAAGACGTAGTGGCCCGTAAAGGACAATGCTTTTGAAAAAAGCGTGTATTCTGTACTTTTTCTTGAATTTCAAAGTTTTCATAGGAGAAACTTAATCCGGAAATTTAGTTACCCACCTAATATATTGTTTAAAAACGAAAATAAAAAGATTTCATAATGGATGAAAACTGATTCTTGATGGACTCTATCCATTGTTAAGATATAAAGAGAGAGAGAGATATAAAGATTTCGACAAATTTTCTTATTTAAGAAAAAATAATACAAAATTTAATATACTTTAAGAAAATGAGCAATTTTCCTTCATGCAAAATATTGCGAAGAGTCTTCTGAGAAATAACTCTTCAAAGAAACAATAAAAAGACTTTTACAAACTTCGTTGCTCGTTATCATTTCTACTTCATACGTGTTATCAACTATAAATCTTATTGAATGTAATTGAAAGTAATATTTATTTCGTTTGAAATACTAACTAATGTATCATAAAAACTTTTAAATGCAAAAGAAACAATTTCATGGTAGAGTTATGTCATTTGTGTGTAAAATCGTGTTCAATAATTAAATTCATTGCATTAGATTGTTTATAAAATTCTTAATTTACCTGGTATTGGACCGCATACTCTAGGTATAATTTCTAATATTGCTGAGCAGGATGGATCTTCGAAGCATAGCTGACGTGCTAATATACAATTCAAAATCGCTGAGGCAACCTTAATATTAGAGCCTAGAAGTAGAAATCAAAAGAAGAAGCACTCTTAGTATGACATAACATATAACATAGGAAATCAATTTACGATTATTAACAGAATACAAGTTGAAGAGATTTTTAAATAACTTCCTTGAGATATGCAATAAAATATTCTCTGCTAGGAAGTTATAATTTTATTTTAAACTAATTATTTATAACATCTCTGTTTTTGAGTGATGTTGATCTTTATATTTTACATAGT